CCAACCTTCAGTCCCTGGTTAAGGCTTACAGGGATCTCTTGACAGGAAAAGACAATCATCGGCAATATGACAATTTCCACCTGCATCTTGGGTATCTCTTCTTTCTCCTGCAGCTTTTAGTTACATGTATTTTTAATCAAAGCCACCTTCTTCTTGGGGTAAATGACTCCATTTAGAAGTTTTATGGAGATGTGATAACCTGACTGTGAAGATGCTCCCCGCGTCATTCATTCTCAGGGAAGTACTGGCCCTTGGGTGGAGCCAATACAGTTTGGGTGGTCACCTACCAAGCAAGGAAGTTTGGGAATAGAGGTCATATACTCAACTCAGAGAGCAACTCAACTTGTGATTCATGAGGCTCATTTGTTTTTCCAAGCTACGTAGTGGAGGCTTTTCCTTTAATAATTTCACACTGAATGTTTGTGCTCCCCCCAAATTCATATGTTGATACCCTAACCCCCAAGGTGATAATGGTATTAGAAGAGGCAAAAATGATTAGGTCATGAGGGTGGAGTCCTAATGAATGGGATTTGTTCCCTTATAGAACAAACACAAAAGAGTTCTCTTGCCCCGTCTGCAATATGAGGACACAGTGGGGAGATGGCCTTTTACGAACCAGGAAATGGATTCTCACCAGACATCAAATCTGCCACGACATTGATCTTGGACTTTGCAGCCTCCAGAAAGGTGAGAAATAAATATTTATTGTCTGTGGTATTTTTGTTATAGTATACTGAATTGACTAAGACAGGTACTCTGTCCTTCAAACTTCATGTACCATTGTACCAGGTTCAGTGAACTAGGGTCTGTAACTACTGGTGATGCAATATGTATCAATGTATTCCTGCCCATCCTTTAACCAAGCATGTCACTTTCCAGTTTAGATACTTCTTTCTTATTAGTATTTACAAAGAATATGTCTACTTAATATGTTTGGGATTTCATGTATGTTAGGTTTTATTAAAGTGACCATAACTACCATAAGACATTCATCCTTATGTTAAAAACTGCCTTCCCTGAGGGCAGGATTCTACTGTATGAACTACATTAACTTGATATGTAATTTAGACCAAAAAAAATGCTTGAGATAGTGAAACAATAACTCAATTCAGGCTCAGTGTTCAAATTTGTAGAATGACGTTGGGTATAACTCCTCCTCTCTGAAAGTTGAAGATTGACAGATCTTTAATGACCCCTGTAGTCCTACAAATCTGTGGTTCTAAAAGCCCACTCCCTTCTCCACTTTCCCTGGTAAATTGGTCATCTTTAAACCCAATAATGTATTCTACCTTAAAGTCTATTTTTACTGATATTAACAGTGCTACATTAATTTCCTTTTAGTTAATATCTGTCTAGTTTGTCTTTATCCATCTTTTTATTTTCAACCTTTCTTTCCGTTTATTTTTTTTTAATTTATAATTTGTAGGCTGACTACCTCTGTCTTTTTAATGACCAGTTTTGTCCAATTACATTTATTGTGATTATCGGTGTGGTAAGTTTTGCTATGTCTATGTGTCCAGCTATTTTAATAATTTTTTGCTTTCATTTGTAAAATGCCCCCCCTATTAATTTAAGTCATACAAGCTTTAGCTTGTACTGTAGAGGTTAATCACTTCTCACCCTTTGACTCTGCGATCTCTTCCTCCAATCATTTATCACCATCTAGTGGATCCATATTATTCCTTCTTTCCACAGAAAAGAGAATAGGAGAAAATGTTTGTCAGGGAGATAATTACATTAGCATAGACAACCTAACAAGATACTTCATATCTAAAATTATATTCTTGTACCTGGATAACCCAAAGCCTCTTTCCTTCTGTTGTGTCCATTTCATTTGTTTTACTTCCCAGTTGTTCTCCCACTTGGTGACATGCAGTCTCTGTGCCACTATGATATTAATCACCTAAGGAAGGCTTGCTGTTAGTGTGACCTCTTCTTGGCCTCCTCTTTGAAGGGAGCAGATAAGCCAGGGTCCAGAATTTTCCAATGATTTTATTTGATAGCTAATTAATGACCTTCTGTGGTTTCCATGGCAATGCCACGCTTTGCTGCCAGTCCTTATCCAAATGGGCATTCTGTTCACTCTTTTGCCTTAGCATCAGCATATTAATCAGACACCACAGGCCCTTGGTTGCTGCATCAAATTGGTAAGACACTAATTGAATTAAAATCTCACTTGAAGGCATCAGGCTTTTTTTCCTCCCAGCTCAGGGGGAACTTTGTTAGCTGAAAGGGTCAGAATCAAACAGGAGACACTCTGAAATCTACAGAACTTTGTGTCCTTTTATAGCAAAGTATTTTCCTTTTGCCTTTGAATAAATATTTTGATGTCTGAATCTCGCTCCTTCAAAATTTCTCTATTGCCCTGACCTTTTCAATGTATTCTCTTTGTAATATGGAATATTTTCAAGGTGAAGGGGAGAGGCCTCTCCCTCTCTCTCTCTCTCTCTCTCTCTCTCTCTCTCTCTCTCTCTCTCTCTCACACACACACACACACACACACAGAGTTGGTGAAGTTTGAAGGCTCTAACTTGAAGGCTCTAACTGAATTGTGATAAGGATTAGGTAGCACAGTGCATATGAAAATTGCCTGGGATTATTAGATTATGAGTCCTTGGAAGGTAGAAATGAAAGGGAGGAGGAAGAGAGGCAACTGAAGGATGATCAGCCTTCAATTCATTCTTCAGCTCATGAGAATTATGAATGATTATTTCACCTTCTGATATAGAGTTGAAATCCTCACTCTCCTTGGTAGCTTACCATTTAAAATGACACCTTTCTGTAACTATTCTTGTAACTGACCCGCGAGTGCCCTGTGCACACTTACACCCTTGTGCTTTTGCACTCTCTGCTCCTTGGCCCTTTGCTCCTTGTGAGTTGCCCAAGTCCCATTCATTTTGAACGCTCAGAATGCACTTGCCTAACCCTATGAACACGGTCAATCACTTCTTCAGGGGTCCTCTCCGTGTGCCTGGCCCCACAATAGCACTCATCATGGTGTACTGTAATTACTGTTTATTTTTTAATCGTTGCTTATGTCTGTCTTATTTCATTAGTCTGTGAGTGACACAAAAGCATGGACCATTTCTTACAAATCTTCATTTTTCTGACATGCTCCATTCATGGACTAGGTGTTGTAAACATGTTTCATGATCTGCAAAATCTTGTACTTGGTGAACAACTGCTATGTGCCCTCTGGAATGAAGAATTTCCAACTTAAGTGAACACCGAATCCTCTCAGAATCTGAGGTCCGAAAAAGTGTATTAATGGGAAGTGCATGTCAAGTGTTAAAACTGGTTTAGAAATATGTTAATTGGTACTAAAGAAACTAGAATATTACAATTGGAATTTACCATTATGAAAAAAAAATACTCCCTAGACACACAAACTAGATAATTCTCTACTTCTTATGCAAGGCAGGCCTCAGCTTCTTTCACCTTGAAATAAACTATATTGGGACTGGTGTTCTCTTTGAGTCGCATTATCATAGACCCCGGTGACCTCTGAGATAGGTCTTTGTGTTTTATCTAGGATAGCATTACTGTGAGAGAGAAATACACATTCCTGAACCAGAACCAGTGGGGGGAAGGTATGCAAACACTGGTCAGGGTATGAGAGGACCGCCTAATAGTTAAGATATTTTTGTAACACAGCCTGGAATGAGCACGATTCCCCTTCAGTAATCACAGAAAGCGGAAGATAGCACGAATTAGCTTCCTGTCCCTGAAATGGCCCAGTCAGCCAACAGCAGGCATCTCCCTAAGATGGTAAAGGGGTATTTGCACTGGGCAGATGTTCAGACCACAGGTGTCCTGCTCTCTTTTCCAGCTCGAAAGTGTGCCATCCTGTTTCTCTGCCAATACAGAAGCGAAGATCCAGATGCTCAGAGGCACGTCCAGCAAGTTCCTCAGCAAAAGGATCCACACAGCGTTTCTGGCACCGGAGTGGCACCCGCCCAAATCCTCTAGAGGTGAGCTTTGCAATCACTTTCCTTCTTGAGCCTCTCCACCCAATTCGATCCCCAAGCCCTACGTGAGGCTTCTCAGCTTTCACAGATGCCAAAGAAATGGCAGTGTTATATTATGGATGTGTGTGTATTGAGTTAATCAAAAAAACAATTTTTTAGAGACTTCCTTGGGGAAGTAAGCTTGGCAGACCAATGCACTATTTAAGCCTACCCTAGTTTATTTTTTATTTAGGTTATTGATTTTTATTCAAATTAAATTTTAATATGTGTGGTATTTCTAGGAAATCTGACATAATTTCTGTTTTTGGAGAAAGTAGGTGAAAGGGGTTTCATGACTAAAAGAAAAAAAAAACCCTATGAAAACAACCTGAGACTGAAATATACTCTGTCCCTTGGCATTTAGCCTGGAGAACACAGGAACATGGCAGCATGATTTAGGAGGGCCTGCCCAGGAACTCAGGCCTCATGCAGGCAGTGACTGCATGTAGCCAGGGGCATGCCTTTCTCTCTGAGTCTATTCCCAGAGAAATCGAGGCCCTCGACTGCTGACATCTAAGGTAGTTATTGTTTTAGCCCTGTGTGATTATGGGAATACCGCTCTCCCCAATCCCATCTGTTGTCCAGCTTCAGTGTATTCACCATGAAAGACGTGAGGTAGGCAAGATAGCCCTGTTACTGCATCCGCCACCCTGGTGTGAAAATGAGTCAAAAGAACCACAAAGAAATAAGCATAGAGAGGGAAGAAATCATAACCGAAGAAATATCTTCTTTATCTATGTCCATTTCCTCCCACAAGGAAAAATGGCAGTGTCGGTTGTACATTACATATAGCTCGCTTTCTCTTTCGCGTGTCACCTTAGCACCTGCACAGCAGAGACCTTTACAATCCATTGCATAGGCTCTCCCCGCCTCCCCCTTCACCCAGGACCTGAGGCCTAAAAAGCAACTCCAGCTCCCTCCACGCTCCTCCGAGGGCTGAACCCCTTCTTCCTGACAGAGTATAGAAGTAACAAACATGCCCCACGGTTTCAGACAGTCGCTAGAACGTGTTCAGTGTCCAACGAATGAAGATGTTTCCTGTCTCTTCGAATAGTAATTACATTTTACAAATTTTTTTTTTATGTACTTCGCTTGATTTTCGTCCTGTTACTGTTTGTACAACAAAAGGGAACGTCCCGTGGCCCGGGAGTGGCCGGTTAGCAGAGCTTGGCCGTCATCTGGTCGGACTGTTTGAGGATCTCCGTGTTGTAGAGGTCCAAGGCGTGGTTCACCCTGATGATCTCGCTGTTGGTCAGCTTCAGGCGGTGCTTCAGCATACAGGAGAACAAGTCCAGCTGGGGCTTCCCGGGGGCCACCGGCGGGGCCAGGCGGTTGATTCGGTCCCGAATATCCAACAAGAGGAGCATCACGGACGACGAGGAGTAGAACTGGCCGCCCTGCGTGTAGGACTGGTTGACCTGCTGCACGGCGCTGCGGAGGAGGTCGGCGTTGAACCGCAGGCTGTAGCCGAACACCTGCACGTCCGAGATCTTGATGTAGAACTGCCTCTTGTTGGGGTCGGACAGGTCCACGGGGCCCTGGCCGGTCTCGTTCCGCAGGACGGTGGCGAGCCGAGTCCGACTGCGCAGGTAGATGTGGACCGTCTCGAAAAACGTCTTCCACCGATTGCCCAGCAAGAGGGTCCAGTTGTAGCACTGGCTGTTCTGGAGGCGGACCTTCTCCCAGCGCGGGTAGCCGAACTCGCCGAAGGGCATGTTCCAGCCCTCCGAGTGGCTGCCGCTGAAGGGGTTGACATAGACGAAGAACATGGGGTCCAGGCTGCTGTTGCGCATCTGGCAGATGCGCATGGACATGCCGATCACCATGTGGATGAAGTCCATGCGGTTCTTGTTGCTCTTGAGCGTGAGGGACATGCGCTTGCGCCACCGCGGGTCGAAGAAGGTGTCGAGGCGGATCTCGTTGCTGACGAAGGTGGTGTGCACGTAGAGGCGCGAGTCCATCTTCTGCAGCAGGTACTTCAGCTCCAGGTCCTGGAAGTCCAGGTCGGTCTCGAAGCTGATGAACTGCTCGCTGCGCTCCGAGTCCACGTTCTGGGGCTCGCAGCGGCCGCGGTACAGCTTGTAGCCCTTGTTGCAGGAGCCGCAGAGCGAGATGTTGGCCAGGCTGCACATGGCGCAGCTGTTGTTGCCGCCGATGATGCAGGGGATGGGGCGCTGGCACAGCGTGGTGCTCCCGTGGCACACGCAGCTTCTCTGGCTCTCCAGGAAGGTTCCCCAAAACCCGTTCTCATTGCAGTAGAGAAGCGACTGCACCCTGGCCAGCCACTGCTGAATCGTCCTGGGGACAGAGGGAGAATGGAGAATGTTAGCCACCATGGGCAGGCAGTGATGTACATGGAGATGCCCTAAGAATGAAAGGGCTGGGGAGAACAGTTAGAATAGGAAGGGCAGAACAGTTCGAATAGGAAGGGCTCTGAATGGAAGTTAGGAGGAGGGCATTGTCAGTCCTTGTAACCCACAGGCCAGCTATAGGACGCTGGACTTTCCCCTGTATGTTCATTGTCCAATCCGTAAAGTGAAGGGGTTGGAGTACAATTCTTTGGGCCCTTTCTAACTCTTTGATTCCATTATACATTTGCCCCACATAAATTTGATTCAGAAAATTAAAATGTATAAATTCAAACACCCCTGCTGGATGACAACAGATTGAAAAAAGGGAAAAATCAGCAATAGAAAGCAGCTTTAACCTGCATCAGATGTTTCAACCCTCACAGATTCTCCCAGGTGGTTATATAACATTCAGCCTCAACAAAAACAAGTTATATTTTATATCACTCTACAGATGGCGAAGTGCTACCATACTGATGACCTGATATGATCCTGACAGTGGCTTCTCCAACAGGTAAGAAAGATTTCGTTACCCCCATTTTCCCAGAACTCCTCTCAACTCAGTGGAATTTCCATCACAGCCTGTATGTCTAGGTCTCCCTACCCACTGCCCCTCAATGCTGTGTAAACGATAGCCAACCTGTTGCCAAATTCCAGCCACGGAAACGTTCCAGAAAAGACAGATACTCCACCAGATAGAAAGCAACAGAATAGGTAAAAATACGCAAGGCAGCTTAGCGCCTCACTTCTCTCCTCATTCCTGTGCAAGTCACCTCCTGGCTGTCTTTCAAGCTACGAATGATTCCTTACACACGCCTTGTGCTTCTTACCCTGCACGGGGCACATTCACTCCCATTTTCTCACTTGAGGCTCACAACACCCTGGAACTAGCTGGAGTGGTGCTGGGCATCTCCCTCTCCTTCCTAATCATGCCGCCCACACTGGGCTGCAGGGAGGATTACATGAATTTTTATGTGAAAGCTTTGCCCCAAACCTGATAGGTATTGAGGGCTCGATAAAAGTTAGCTCTTATGATTCCTGCAAAGGGACTGCCCTGCTCCATTTTATACGCATGGCAATAGAAGCTCAGAGATGAAAGGACGGACTAAGTGAGCGAATAGAGAAGTCTCTTGGCTCAGAGCTTTGGCTTTTTCTTTTTCCATTAAATGTCAAGCAAGAGTGAAGAAAGCCCTTCATAAGGCTGCAATGGACTGTGGTGATGGTGATGATGACAAAGGTGGTGCATGATCCCCACTTTAGGAAGCTGGAAACAGAAGCCCTTTTGCATTGTACTGCCTGTGGGAGGGTCAACCATCATCTACTCCAGTGGTTCTCAACCTTCCTAATACCGCAACCCTTTAACCAGTTCCTCATGTTGTGGTGACCCCCAATTTCATTGTTACAAATTGAACATAATTAAAGCATAGTGATTAATCACAAAAACAATATGTAATTATACATGTGTTTTCTGATGGTCTTAGGAGACCCCTGTGAAAGGGTCGTTCGACCCCCAAAGGGGTCACGACCCACAGGTTGAGAACCGCCGATCTACCCGATCATTTCTATGGTTAAGCCACCATGGCCACGCTCAGGAAACGCCGTTTTGGCATTAGAGCCTAAGGTTAAAAAGTGTGCGTGTTGGCCCAAGTAGAAGCGAGTTCCGAGCTCAGTTCTGTAACCAGGAACCAGTCACTTCATGTCTGTAAGCCTCAGTGTCCATATCCAATGAGAATGATAAAGCCCATCTTCTGTGGTGGGTGAGAGGACTGAGTGAGATAATATATTTAAAGGCGGGAGCCCGGCATAGAACAATTATTAAAGAGGTAATAATAATAATACTCTTATGCCAGGGAATAAGCTGTTCCTTTGAAGGTATTGAGGCACTCGGGGATTTCACTATCTCTCTGGAGTTTGAGGAAAACCAGTTTTTCATACGGGACATTTGAAAATCGATACTGTTGAACCAGCTTCCCAGGATGCTGTGCTTTGAAATGAGTTGCTTATCAGCTGAGAGGAATGGAGGCATAATTAGCGAGCTCCTTGAAACTGCTCTGCCTTTTAAATCCATAGAACCATCCAGCCCCTGGCAATAAAACCCCCATCACATTCAGAACATGGGTTTTCTTGTCAGTTTCCCCTCCAGGCTCTAAGGCTTGCAGGGCGGGGAGGGGGGGACCTCCTTCCCTCAACATCTAGCCCAGAGACTGGCTCCGTATTAGTGTTTGCTGAGTGAATGAACAAAATTAATATTTTTGTTGTTTTTCATTAAGAATACCTACCTTCCCTTCTCCCCTCTGGACTGCAGTATTAGTTTTCAATACCATCCACCCACACAGCTCAGCCCCAGTCTCCGCTGCGTGAGACCAAGCCCATCCCAGCCTGGAGAACAGCAGCAGGCCCGGACTTCAGGCCACGCAGCTGGAATGCTAATGAGCTCTGCGGCTCCCACCTCCCAGACCAGAACATTGACTGAATATTGGCTATGAGTCATCCGATAGTTTTGTGAGCTGCGGGGACCCGACACACGTCTCCGATTGCACGGTTCCATCTGAGGAGAGCCTAATTTCAAAATGCCTCTTTCACATGGCCCACACTTGCCCCTGTCACTCCCTCTCCAAGTGACAGGACAGTACCCCATTTAGAGCTCCTCTGTTCCCATCTGCAAGGCACTCTATAACCCCGCAGAGCGCCCCCTTTCTCGTGTCTCATCATTGGGGTCCTTTGTCAGGGCCGCAGCCCCCACTCCTTGAATCAATGCTTGATTGTGGCTGAACTCTCGGAATCCTCAGCGGGGGGGACTGAAAAGATGAAAGTTCCTGGTCATGCTGCAACAGGCAAAGGGGCTAGTGGCGCATTAGGATTCCAGCCCAGTCTGGCGGGAGGGACTGCGGACAGAGGCCCTCTGAGGCGCGTGAGCGAGCGGCCTGGCACCTGCATCTCCTGACCTCAGAATAATCAGGAGGTTGTGGGCTGCATCAATGAAGGCATTAATGATACAGCGAGAGGACTTAGAAAGAGGCAGCGTGCAGGGAGGGGGAAGAGTAGGGAGAGAGGTGGAGCGCGGGGAAGGGTGATCAGGGAGGAGAAAAGGATGCGGTGTTGGAGCTGATGGGGGAAATGAAGGAGCTGGATGAGCAGACAGGGCAATGCAGGAGGCAACCTGGAGAGGGGAAAGGTGATGGGAGGAAATTAGAGTGGGGAGGACAGAAACAAAGAAATGCAGCCACTGTTATAACTCACGGAATATGGGCACTCAATGGGCTATGTGAGGGCGAGTGGTCCTTGAGGGAGGGGGCCAGATGGGAGGCAGTGTTACTATTGAGTTCTGATTCCCAAGGTCAGTGACCTTTCCTTTGCTTTTCAATAACCTTGAGAAGAACAAAACCAGAGATACAAGCTCATTCCAGTTTGTGTGTTTGTTCTTAACAAGCAACTTCCAACAATGAGGACGCCACCTGAATCAGATCACCCTCCTATCCCTTCTCCATCTGCAGCCAGGGCTCTCGGTAGTCATTACTGATGGGCAGAAACCCTGCCATGCTCAACAGAAGGCAGCACCCTAAGTGGGCCAAGGCAATCGGTGGCTGACAACTACGGAGCACTCACTGTGTACCAGGCATTGTGCTGGAGCAGAATAGCCAACCAGCTGCATGAAGACAACGAGGCCTGGAGAAGTGAGATAACTTGTCTCAAGTCACGAAGTGACTCCGGGGTCCCTAACTCCAGCACGGGCGAACTTTCTACAACGTACCACAGTGTAAAATTATGACAAGAGGCAAGCGAGAAGTGAGCAGGCCACAGAGAGAGAGATACATGGAACTAATGGAAAGTTTGAGCATGGAAAGGGCCTATTATCACATGCCTGGCTTCCTCTGGACCTGCCAGGATCCTTCTCCGCCATTCACAGATAATTGGAGCTCAGGACTAGTGCATAGGGAGAGGCTGGGGACCAGGGGTAGGAGGGACTAAGATCTATAAATACCACTTCCCCGGCTAGTTGGTGACAGCCTGCCTCAACCCTGGCAACAGAGGACGGCTTAATAGGCAGGCTGGAGGGAGGGGCTCACCAGGGCCTGACACAGCCCCACTGCAAGGCAGTCAGTTGGAGGCAGCGAGGACCAAGTTTTAAAATGCTTTTCTCTGTCCCTGGGGATCCAAAGCATCTTGCATTCGCAGCCAAAGCTGAACTCCAATACATCTACATCAGCATCTTTCTGTTGGATGGGGTTTCAATTCATTCTGATGGGGCCTGAGGGGAGGGAGGAAGGAAGAAGGGAGGGCAGGAAAAGGTGCTTTTATTTCTAAAGCCCACTGGTGTGTACCCTCTGAAGCGGCCTGGACCACAGAAGCGGAAGACCGAGACGCTACCCTGGAACTGTCCGGCCATCTCCCTCCTGCTCAGACTGAGCACTGAGACCTGGGTGGACCCACGTTTCTTCCGCTGCCCCTCTCTCCTCCCATCAGGCCCATGAGGTAGGACTCCCCGGTGATTTCTACTTTACTCATATGGCTTTGAAGGCCAGAGAGGGGCTGTGACTTGCCACGGTCACACAGCACGGATGTGGCACAGCAGAGCTCAGGATTTCTGTATCCAAACGCAGTGCTCCCTCACTTTGCCTGCTGTCCCTTTCCTACCCTCTAAACCCCAGAACGGAGGAGGAGAAGCTAGGCTCCGGGCCATGGAGACACCGCTGCTCGCCTGCAGGCCCTGTCGTTGCCTCAGCCAGGATTTTCTGGCGACATGACAGGTCTCCCAGTGACACAGCGTGGAGTTGCTCGTCATTGGAGGACGGAGGCTGTGCCACCCAGGGCTTCCCATCAGTGCTTTCAAAGGCACACACCTCCCTCTCAGAGCCACCTGGGTGGGAACCTCGGCTGGGACTCCTAATTCAAGCAAACTCCCTGCTGATTTTAATTGGAGGTTTTGCCTAAGACAGGAATGCAGCCTGG